AATAAGTTATGTTGATTGTGAGGATTGTGGTGACATCGAAGCGACCGCGAAATTCGTAAAGTTTCCGCCATCTTCAAGACGACAATACCGTTCGTTTTCAAAGTCGCTTCGTTAAAGCCAAATATTGCCCCCTTTTTTTTCAAGTTCGGAGCAAGAAGCTCGTCGATCGGAATCCGACTGCAGGAACGTGCATACTCACCGGAACTATCGTCCGCTATAGCCGGCCGCTTCGAAAAACTCAGTCAGCCGGACGAACCCGAAGTAGCGAAAGTTTCCCGAAACTCCGGCGGCGTGGCCGGGAACGGGCGAGATTGAAATACATTCGTTTCGCTTCTCCTTTTTCTCCTCTTTCTCGCCCTGCTCCCGCTTCCTTCGTTTTTCGCGTCAGGATTCGTTGCCTTTATCCCGGCGCGCCACGTCGGATTTGTAATTCGGCAACTCGAGCCGGGCCTGACGTCGAGTTCGAAAGCGGATAAAGTTCAAACGCGCGGCCGTGTATCCCCGCGGGCTAATTTACACAGTTCAATTTTGACGATTAGAATTCCAGATGAAAATCATCCAAAGTAAAAAAGCCATTGGTCGTACAAAGTGAAGGAAGAACTTTAATTCCTTTTAAACTGGTTTTGAATCTTTTTTTCACCGTAGTCCGTTCTGAACAAAGTTTCAAGGCTCTCTCTCCTTCCTCCCCCTCCCCCCGTCCCTCTTTCTAACATTTTAAGAAATTTCTTAATGTAACGTAGAATACTTTTTAGCAGATTTACTACTTTTTACAAACAGAAGGAAATAGTGGCAGAAATAATACTTGGAACAAGTCCAATTTGTATATTATTATCCGCGATGGATTATCCAGGGGAAATCGTGTAAAAGTTTCTTAAGTGAGTAGGCATTGAATAGTTTCTTTCGTGACTAGGGTATATTGCAGAGACGCGCAATTTGAATGTTAAAGCAGACTATATCGGTACATTCAGTTTGAATTAAAATTAATTGAATCACATTATCAACTTCATTTCAACAGTTCTCTTCTGGAGATACGGTTGATGTTTCAAACAGTTGGAAAGTCCAATTTTTTATTAACGCGAATTTCGTACAACGCTAGTTTAAGTAAAAGACTAGAAACGACAAAACGCGCGCTTAGCGCGCGCAGTTTGTGGTTGACCATTGCGTATTTCAAAGAGTGTCTATACCATACATGCAAAGAAGGTAGTGTATGCGCAACGTCAATTTAAAATAAAAGGTAATTTATAACTCACTGATACGATTCGCAAGTGCAGAGTTGTACATCGTTAACTATAATATGTGGGTTAAACTATAACAATACAAATATGTATATGATTAGTACAGAATAATTATGTAAAATCGAAATTATTTTATTAAATATATATTATATTTTATATTTTTCGAAATAGATATTTATTAAAATTATTATGGAATACTTAAAAAAGGCTTCCTTTTAAATATAAACTCACGAAACTTTATACTTTCGTTTTGTAACATTTATTCAAATACTCGTTCGAATCATTTGAATCAGTAAAACAAAAACACAGAACAGATGCTTTATTCTGCACAAGTAGCAAATAATATAAAAATGTAAAACACTCACCTCACGATTGATCTGCCGTTGCCCGATGCTTCCGAAGCCTCCTCCTCCTCTCAGATTTCCTTGTGGCACTCACACACACTCACTCGCGAAAATCATCGATCGCGCAAAATTTCAGGCACTCCCGTACGCGATGTGAAATACCGCGAAACGCACGCGGTGCGTAAACGAGATGTAATCGCGACAAATTACCACGGTTTACGTTCATATCTTACAAGTAGATGAGTTAGTCTCGTGAAATCTACGTTGATAAAAGCCGCGGCTTGAACGTGAACATCACTTTTCATTACAAGTTCTAATATTTAGTCGACGAACGTTACTTATTAATAATAAACGTACACAGATCAATAGCGTTTTATCCCCACATTGATCGCGATCGCGTCTTGGAAATCGATAATGCGAAAGTAATACGACGCACGGAGCGCGACTCTCGACACTGCCTGCCGGCACGACGTTCGGCGAGCGAGTGAGACGCAGCGACCTTCAGGTACACGATGGCACGCAAAAACATCGTACGTCACCGCGCCGAGAGACAAACACCAAAAAAACATTGAGAATTCGTTCGCCTGTCTACACAATGGAAAATTCCGTACTTAATATTTTATTGTACATTACTTTGTTCCGTGACTGTTGCTACGTTTGGCGTATCATTCTGCGGACTTATTGGTGTTGATTAAATTAACGATTAATTCTGTTCAATCGAGAAAATGTTTCGAAACGAAAATCGTTGTTACTTAAATTCTAATTACTAAGATTAGAGATTTTACTTCAATAGTTGATGCATACAAATATATATTACTAAATTACAAATCTTCATTTATTATGAGCAAAAATTATCGAATTATTTACTTTAATAAAACTATGAATTGGTGTTAAATACTTGATTGGAAATAGCATTGCACGCGTTGTTTGGTTTTAATTTATATTCACTTGATCTTCTTCACACGTTAAGATTTTTTTCATGTGAAGAAGACGTAATCTAACGTTGACAACCTGCCAAAATACATATTACAGAAAACCTATCGGCATCGCGGAAAAGATGTCTCAAACTGGTCGATATTAACGACATTTACGCCGGTAACATCTCTTTTAGAAAGGGTTGGTATATAATATTAACTAGCAAATGTTAAATTTTTTAAAAATCGCAAATTAATAAATCTTTACTTAATGTTAATTTCTGTATTTTTAACTAAGCGAAATTCTCTAATTTAAAATATTTCCTCGTTAAATAAATACCTTTCGATCAGGGCAGAGTAATACTTGATATTATTAAAACTTTTAATATAATAAATATTTGTGCATTAAAAAACTAACGATAAACTGTGCTGTTGTGAATACTAAAAGCAAAGAAATTATGAAAATGCAGCTAGAGTACCTATGTAATACAAAATAACATGCGCGTGATGAGTTGCACGTTGATAAGGAAGCAAGAGTTTTGACTCTGACGCTTAGTATCTCTTCTCTCGTCAAGTAAAGAGTGCAGGGCGAACACGTGCGAAAAATTTTGTCCCTCTCGGAAGAGAGCTTGTACGAAGCATTTCAGAGACATATACCTTTCACAACTACGTCGGTCCCCGAGGAATATGAGGGCGCGTAAATCCGTAAATCGGCCTGTTACTCATTGCAGCTCCCCTTGGCAATTTTTATGAAGGACCCATCAGGTTGTTAACGTTGAAGAAAAGAAAGTAAAAAAAAAATAGGTTGTTACCATGCGCTATATAAAATGGAAAAACAGATTGTCATTCATGATAAAATTTAAACTGATAAAATTTAAGCTGTTGATCCCCGGCAAAGGGGGATTACGCGGTATATAATTGCGTTCGCACAAATAATGTCAGTCTTTTATATTTATATTTGTACGTGTATGATTTAGGATATGCAATATTTTCTTGTTTGCTTACGTCCATAATAAGTCTGCTAAAATTATTAATTGAGGCGTATCGAGAATCGCGCGCTTTATAAATTTACGCGGCAATTAATTCGTTGGCTTTTGTGGTGGGTCTCGAATATTTCGTAGAATTAATCTAGTTGAGCGTGCAATTCAGGACGCGGCTGTGAGAGTGCCGTTGCAAGGGTTACACGAGGGCCTCAAGGGCTGCAACTCGTAGAATTCGAAAGTTTAGATTGCACCTCCGCGCCTTGGTCCCAACCAATTGGTTTAGTAGTTTCAACCAGTACAACAATGGCGGAAAATGTCGGAATCAGGATGCACTGGTCACGGGAGCGATCTTCTGGCATTTCAAACAAATTTTGTTATTCTATTTATTTTAGTTACAAAATGTTAACATTGTAAAATAATGTATTGTGTTGCAAATATTGTTCAATCGTCAAGTCACTTTCTGAGAATTGATAAGTATTACAATCAATATATTTCTTAAATTAATTTTGTAAATAATATATTTTAGAATCTAATAAATATACTAATAAATATTAAAAATGCTATTTTAACAAATGAAAAAATTACAATTACAATACATTAGATTTATTTTAATCAATAACAAGACAACGATAAACCTTTTGGAAAAAATCAATATTTGGAACAAATTAATTTTCATAACGTGAGATATTAGAACTTTAATACTCGAATCCTTAAATCAGTCAGGAAAAATACAGTCATACGTTTTAAACAATTTTAACTTGAAAGTGGAACAAGTTATTTGTATTATTGTATTTTAGAAACGCAAATCTCGTACTGCCGAAAATAAATATTTTTTTTATCTCAGCACGAAATTGATAGTGCGACTATTTACAAACTAAAACCACAATATATACTAGAAATGTGTACCACTGGCTGACGAAAATGTTTTGTTTTATCGTAAATAAATTGTTTTTTAAATTGTACTAAACTGCTTCACTATTAATATTGTTTACGCTATTAATATTGTTTAATATTCTTTACGCAAACGAGATCAGTTTGCGTGTAAAATTTAATAGATCGAAATTATATTTATGTACATAGTAATTTCAATATACATATGCAAAGTTACTTATGAAATTTAGTTATAGATATTAATATATTATCTCTCTCTTTTTCTCTATCTGCTTTATCATCAGAAACATGTATCAATATCCAGAAAAAAGATTTAGTTAGGTTAAACAAATGGGATACATTGAAGTCATATTTCTTTCAATTTACTAAATCTTTATTTACTTCTACTAAAACATTTGCTAGATTTGAAGAAATAAATAGATATAAATTCTCTTACAGATTCCAGTCTCGATCAAATAAAACTTTGCTTGGGGTAAAGAAATCATATCTTTGAAATTAAATAAAAGTCTAGTGAGGTCAAAATTCAAACAAATTTGTTTGATTTTAAATAAACTCTTTTCTGTGTGTACATTAGGTAATCACTTCGTATCTAATCTATCATTAGACTAAAAGATATTCTTCTTCTTGTTACAGGCTTAAGACAACGACCTACGGATTCTCCGAGAGGAGGTGAGTTTTGTTCAATTGGCTCATCTTTGAAGAAGAAATGGCGAGCGAAACCAGAATCATTTGTAGTGCCCAGTATTGCCAAATTGTCGGAAAATATGGACGGCATAAAGTTGTACACGAAGTAGAATATATGCCATTAATAATACGACTAATAGATCTACGGGAAAAGGTCCAAGTCAGATAGATTTTGGATGACCAACGGGGTAATTGCGAGAATAATCAAAAGAGTTATCGGGAAGAAACTAACAATTCTAAAACACAGTCCCTCCAGGACATTCGTAAACAGGCCAATGTATGGCACTAATCCCTCGCAACAACAGCAAAAGGCAGCCTATGATAAAAAAAACTCAAAGCTCCAAGGAAATATGAAAAGGGCGATCTGATTATGTTAAAAAACTTTGATAGTGCGCCCGGAGTTAATAAAAAATTTATCCCATGGTTTCGCGGTCCATACGAGGTAGTTAAACATTCTTTTATTTGCCTAATACTTCTTGAGATATTCAAGAGAAATTTGATAACTTTTTCAATATTTAGCTTATGATATCTCGATATATCGAATACCAATTTTTGGGGAAATTAGAGAGATGGGGATTTTTAGGGAGAACGAATAATAATGATACGGTATTACATTATTATTTCATTTGTACCAAGGATATGTCTACTCGATCATTTGCGTTCTACGGATTATGTTTACGTTGCAATATTAATTACATTTATTATCACTGTATTAACGTAAAATAATAATATTATCATAATTATTATCGTTATAATGTTTATTATTCATCACGAGTACCGATTGAGCATGTAACCATGCGATTTGTACCGCGCGTGGACCGTGCGCTACATCGAGCGCATGTAATCCGGCGCGCGATAAAGAATACAGATACCGATTCGATTTAACGAACACTACAGGCATAAAATTTAATTCGGAAATGCGTCCGCACGGAGCACGGAAAGCGCCCGGGCTATAAACGCGAGTGCTAAAACTCATGACCGCTTGTACTACATTCTGGCGCGCTCATTAGCGCTAATTAGCGTAAGCCTCTCGATTAACGAGAACGTTCTGCGGGCCTAGGCGGACGCGGGACAAACGGTAGCACGTTACTTCATTAACCTGCGAATTGCACGAAAATAAAGATGTTAAAGCGTGATTAAGGTACCGTTAAATTCGCTTTGCTCTCTCGTAACTTCATACAGCCGCGGCGCTCCCGATGAAACGCACGCGGAATTCGACGTCGCGCTCGACAATCCGACGTCGATTCTGTCAATCTTTTAATTGTATTTTCTAATCGCGAGCTGTTTTCCCGCGTCATAGTTCCGCGCGAGATCCGCTTTAAAAGCCCCGCGCTTCGCGATCGCACGCTGCACCGTGAAATGACGCGCCCGAGGAGAATATGTTATGGATTTCGCGACGAGCCCTGCGAGTGCTTTATCGGTACATTACGTTCGTACAAGCGGCCGTTCGCGTTTTACGGTCGGTCGGGGACGGGGGGGGAGGGGGGTTCATAGAAGAAAATTGCAGCGGGGCGTTAGCGGCTTTTCGCGCGTTCGTTTCGGCCCTGCCGAGGCCGGGGTCTCTCCCCGGTCGCTAAAACGTTTCAATTTTTCGACCTGCGACGCGTTCGACGGTAACGCTAAAAAATACACGGCCGTCGTACCGCGGCACGCGAATTATTTCCGATTAGTTTCGGTTTGATTTTTACTCGGGCTCGTGACATTACTCTTTCACGAAAACAATCGAGTTTCCGCACGCGCGCAAACACGCGCTCCATTTCGACCCTAATTCAGGCTGCTATTAATCGAGTTGCTCATGTTTGCCTCTCCCCTTTTTCTGATTGTGCAATTGCATACGACGTAAACGAGTTTGACCGTCAGCTTAAATATATATAATCACCTCCGTGCCGTTTCGCGTAGACGCGCTTGGACGCCGATTGAAATTAAATATGGCGGAAATTAAAAAGTGACTTTAATCTCATTACACGAAACGACATTAGCGTTAGCTGTAATCGCGTTACGTTTCGAAAAATCCACCCGAAAGACGCGCGAGGGCGCGAACGTTCTCTTCGATCGCGCCCTAAAAATAGCCGACGGAAAATAAGCGGAGTCTCATCACGAAGTGATTGACAAAGGGACGTTCTTTCCCCGCCGTACACGTCCCTCGTGAGCGGCAGTCTACGGTAATGTAGCGCGTGACATTATTCAAATTGAATCATTCGTACCGATTCGCAGTCGTCGCCGTCGCTCGTCCCCGATAACGCTATTCCGCTGATTTCTCCAGTCGGAGCTCGCGCCGCGCTGGAAATTCGCTATTTATCAGAGAGGGCCAGAACATCTCTGGCGCGAGTCGTTAAAAAGTAATGTATTCCGTTAGCGGCATAGGGGCGGAATACCGACGAGAAAGGGGGTCCTTCTATATGCCAGCGGCTCGTACGGATGTTTTCGTCAAAGGACACGCATACCGTATATCCTCCCCTGCAGCTGTTCCGGGAGAGAGGGAGGCGGGGGCGGGGGGCAAGCCTCTTGAGTTTGGATCGCTCTTGCTCTCTCGTGGAAAGCTAAATGCCCCCCCGTCTTCCCCGACGACACCGCTGAATTTTTAGTTCGTTTCTGAAGGATTCCGCTACCACGTTCATTCGCGCGGTCGCGATGCCCTCCACCGCAAACGTCTGACAAATCAGACGCTCGGCTTAAACTGAACGTTCGACGTTTCCTGGAGCACGCGAGGGGAGCTCTCTACTCGTGTAATTCCTACGGAAATACTATTTAAAGTGGCGAATTATGCTCTCGCATACGTAGCTCCTCGGGTGTATTTAAAATGGGATAAGAGAGAAGGTAACAGAAGCGCACGCGAGATTGGTTTCCTCGCATTTTAATCTCAAATAAATTGCAATCTTTCCGCTCGCGTGTTCAAGTGGAGAAAACAATTTCGCGTATGTCGGAAAAGTTTAACGTATTTATATGTGTACACCTTTCAGCAGTCATTACGTACATTACAAACGCGATATTGTAGATGGCCGATTCACATTTTAACACCTTTATTTAAAGCACAGACACAACACGTTCCAAGCAATATTATCGTTGTTTTCATCGTACTCGTTTTTAGACTTGGTTTAAATCGCACACGGTAATTCAATTCCGTCTGTTCTCAGGCTGAAAAAAACAACTGCTATAAAATGCACGCGGTAAAGTCCGTTTTCGCTCGTATTCGTCCTTAATCTTTTCATGACTGACTTTTTTTTACTTTCCCGTTTTCGTCGATGTAATATTTTTTTCAACAAATATGCACGCTAAATCATCCGGTCTCTTTTGTAATTGGACTCGCGTGGTCGCGAAAGGGTTGATTCGCTTTTTCGCGCGCGTCCGTCGCGGCGTAACGTTTTATTTAGACCCGCGGTAAGGTGATGCAGACTGCAAACACAGAGCGATAAATCCTGCCGGGTGCGTAATCGATTCATCCGCCGGCAGAATGGTTTAATTTAAACAGCGGCGCGCGGAAGTCCCTCGCGTAATTACCGTCACAAGCGAACTTTTGTTTCGCATCCACAACAGGATCGTGCGGCGCAAGGCGCGCGAATGCCGCGCTCGCTTCTGATGCAACATGTCTCTCCCGACTCCGTTGTAATTAAGACCGGATGATACCTGGCGCTTTACGAAAGTTCAGATTGTTCCGCCGCGTACGACGGCGGCGCCGCTCGACAACTTTTCGAGAATCTCTTTTCTCTTTGTCACCGATCGAGAGCCCCCGATATATTCCAGAACGCGAGGACTGAGAATTTTTCAAATTCATCCCGCTCTCGCATTTTTCCCTCCTCCGAACGTTTAAACGCATCTCACTCGACACTTTGTTTTATTATGCCACTGTAATGGCTTTCATCATACGTTTGGCTGGAAAAACATTCGCCGCGTATGAAGAGCTACTGTAAACTTTTAGTAACTGTCGTCAATTCCGGATAACTCGTACAAACACGTTAGCTTATGTAAAGCGAGAAAGTTACGCGCTTCCATTTTACGCTCGGGAGAGAATATTATTCTTAAAAGTTGAATTTAGCGTTTCTCAGCCGCCGAATTTCTCAGCAGCCGTCGCGGAAAACTCGGGCAATCTTCACTTGAATCGCCCTAATAACGCCATTCAACCATAGTACAACCAGCAGGTCCACAGCCCGGTCATTTTGTTTCGTTTTGCGCCGATTTCTTCTGCGCATCCGACATTACTTTGGTCAGACCGATGAGAGAAAAGTTGTACAGCAATGGACAGAATAATTGCGACACATTTTGCAAATGAGTTTAGGTATGCGTATTTAGATTCAGGTTTACGTTCCAAAACACTTTATCTGAGGAAAATGTTACTTGAAAAATAGATGGAAAATGCTCAAAATGGTTTCGGGATGGCCATCGAAAAAAATATAAAATAAGATAATAAGATAAAGTAATGCCCACTAATGCCCAGTGGGCATTACTTAATCTTATTATCCTATTATTTATAATATTAAGATAAACTAATGCCCAAAAATGCCCAGTAATACCGCAAATCTGTACGCCGCAATGCCCTCAGCGGTTTACCCCTCGGATTCAACCATACAGCAGTCTACTTTCGCGAGAGACCCTTAACGATTCGCGCTCCGCGTGTTCGCGCAGTGCGGTACACCTGGGAGATTCGAGTCGCCGCTTTTCACGGCGGGTAACGTTTGAATCTAACGCTCGTATCCAATTCTGTTTAGCGGAGTGACCGGAGATACGTTGACGGCGCGGGGCCGCACAGCACGCCGCGTCGCGGTGTGCCTGCTTGCGGGAAAGTTTAAATTATCCTGTCCGCCGGGAGGAAGCGTCTCTCTCTTCTCCGCGGGGAAACGACTCGGATTGGTCCGGTCTGATTAGTTCGGCGGTCCCGTTTTATCCCTACTTTGCTCCGCTCTCGCTTTCTCTCCCGCCATTTATCTAGTTGGCTGTTTATCCGTCTCCCTCTTTCTCTGCTATCGTCGTCCTTTCCCTAGTTTGGCAAC